CCCTCCCGGGACCCTCCCGTCCCGGGTTCGCCTGTGGGCTGGTGCTGCTAATGGCCTAATTAGCCACGCGGAGCTGCTGAGGAGCGGGGCCGGGGCGCATGCTGCCTCCAGCACAGGCAGGATTTAAGGACGGAAGGCCCAGCGCTGGCCCTACGAGGACACCCCCAATGCCGAGGGGGCAGGGCGGCGCCCGGGACTTGCCAGGAGGGGCTGAGCTGTCCCCTTGGGCTGAGCAGATGTTCACCGAAGGCCTTGCTGGGTTTTCTCGTAACATGTGCCGCGTGCACGCTTGGGGCGCATGCTGCCTCCAGCACAGGCAGGATTTAAGGACGGAAGGCCCAGCGCTGGCCCTACGAGGACACCCCCAATGCCGAGGGGGCAGGGCGGCGCCCGGGACTTGCCAGGAGGGGCTGAGCTGTCCCCTTGGGCTGAGCAGATGTTCACCGAAGGCCTTGCTGGGTTTTCTCGTAACATGTGCCGCGTGCACGCTTGGCTTTCCAGCAGGCCTCGTTTCTCCGCTGGGGCAAATGATTCTCGAGAGCCTGTTATAAAAGTGACTCAAAACAGAGGGGTTTGCTGAGTGTTTCCCTGCGGCCTCGCCAGCTGCGTATTCTCCCACCCGTGTCGCCACGAAAGGGCCAGATCCTGCTCTCCTCGCTCAGGGCACGCTCTCGTGGGGGTCGCTTTCGAGGGGCCGGGAGGTCCCGGCAGCCTCGACTTGTGCTTTGTCCTCGATTCTGCCAACAGAGCCCCATGCTGTGTAGGTTCCTCCACCAGGTCCGGGCCCGGGGAGTTCTCCTTGAGCGTAGAAACCTGAACATCCGCACGACGAACGCTCCAGTCTAGGGTGTCCGGGTACCATTGGCCTGGGATTGTCTCTCTTGCCGACAACCCCCTGCAAAATCGGGACTCGTGACTGTTCGCTTATTGCAATGGACCCTTCTCCGGTGAGCCAATGGGGTAGCAGTAGCCACCCAGGTGACCTCCCCGGCCAATCAAAACTGGCCAGATTTGGAATATTGCGGATGGACAAGCGGCAGGCATGGAATTGTTTGCAACTCGTTTCTGCAGGACGTGCCCAGTGTAGCCACTGGGTTTGCTCGGGGGAGTTTGTAGGAGGGAAAGGGGCCAGCGCTGGACAAGGAGCCGAGGGGGTTTGGGTGCCCAGCTTGGCACACCTGGGAGCGGGTTTTCCAGAACCCGCCGACAGCACCAATTGCAGGCAGCCAGCTCCTGCGAGAACGAGGCCCATGGTGACTCCAGCACCCACGGTCAGAGGCCACGTCTGCCAGCGCTGCCCTGGGTCGCTCGATTTGTCTCCCACCAGTGGCCGCTCCAGGTGGAAGTTCTGAACCTGCGCCTGTGTCTATAAACACCAGCTGCTCCAGAGGTGGCACCAATCTGGCTGTGCTGTCAAGGGGCGAGGGGACGGGGGAATGAATTAGTCGCCTTGAGCTGTGGCACGACTGCTAGTGAATCACCAAGGCAGCAGCTTTAAAACAAACCAAAGGCAGTTTTTCTTCATGCAGCACACGGCCAACCTGTGGAACTCCTCGCCAGGGGATGGTGTGAAGGCCAGGACTTTAATGGGGCTCCAAAAAGAGCTGGATAGATCCCTGGAGGTTAGGTCCATCAATGGCTATTAGCCAGGATGGGTGGGAACGGTGTCCCCAGCCTCTGTTTGTCTGGGAATGGGTGACAGAGGAGGGATTACGTGATCATTCCCTGCTCTGTTCCCTCCCTCTGGGGCACCTGGCACTGGCCACTGTCAGCAGACAGGACGCTGGGCTGGATGGACCTGTTAGCCCTGAGACCTGTGCGCTGGCGCCCCCCTTCCCCATCCTGCGATCCGTCCCGCTTGCTTCCCTCTCCCATGACTCCCCACGAGGGTAACTTTGGCTTTTTTTCTCTCGTCTTTAGGAATCCACCAAATCTCCCAAAAGTGCCCAGCCCCGACGCAGACCTTCCAGGTACACCCCCTCCCCCATGACCCCGGCACCATGCCCGGGGCAGAGGCCAGGTACATCCCCCCCACCACCTCCCCTGGCACCATGCCCGGGGCAGAGACTCCCTGGGCCTCCTTCCCTCCCCAGCGGGGGCGTCCAGCAGCCGGGGGCCAGGGCTCACGCTGGTGTTTCACTGCAGAAGGTGAAGCCGGGCAGACCCGCAGTGTGGGCCTGTAGCCAAGTGCCGGCCTTGGGCGACGCTGTTTCTTCCCCCGGGGCTGGTGGTGCATTGGCTGATTGCTGTCCCTCTGGTTGGTACCTGACCAGCGCTGTCGCGGGGTGCTCGGGGGCACGGTGCTGCAGGCCTGGGGCTCTCTCCCCGTGAAGGGACCCCGGGGGAATAAGCGGCAGGATGGGGACCCAAATTTCCCCCTTTTCCCAGCCAGACTAAGATCAGCCCTCGCCCCTTCCCGCGAACGCTCCGCTTCCGCCCGCTGCGTTCCCAGCCCGCCCTGCGGGGCCTTGGGCGCCTCTCGCCTGCAGCGAAGGCAGCGGGAAGGAGGGATGCTCAGCTCTTAGCAGGATGGGGCCCGTTTCTGGGGTCCACGTGGTCTCCCCCGTATCGCGGGTGCCCCTTTCTTGCCCTCCTCTCTCTCCGCCGGACGCCTGCGGTCTCCCTCGCTCGCCCTGCTCGGAAACCCGGCGCGCCCTGTGGGGAAGGGCGAGAGAGCCCCAGCGAGACCCCCACGTCCATGCTGGGTCCGCGGCCGGCTTCGCACGAGCCTCTTTATTCCTCTGGGGGACCCCGGCGAGCTCCCGGGGATGCGGATCTCCCCGGTTTGCTCTGCACCCGGTTCCCGGAGCCGGGCTCTCCCTGCTGTGGTCCGCGGCCGTTTTTGCCGGCTGATCCCGGAGCCGCTGTGCCCTGCAGCGGGAGGAAAGG